GTCCGTTTAAAACTTAAAAGTTGTGTAAAAGTATGTACGAGACAGAGGATAGCAACTCCGACCTCATAATGTATACAAATTCTTGATCAGCATTAAAAGCCAAGTCGATTTAGCCAACTTCCTTTGTCCGTAGTAGCTGGAGACTTCACAAATTTGGATTATAAGTTGTCGAATATTATTAGCAGATCAAATTTATATAATTTTATCGATAGCGGCCCACGTTTCGCGTATATCGATACACATCGATGTCCGATAGATAGAATATAATCATATTAATATATACTATCGATCAACTATAAAAATGTAAACGTTTTGTCAAATTGAGCAGACAAATACCAGCTGGGCTATAATGAATTTAACACGAATTTTTATTTAAAACTTATTTTTAGTTGTAATGCGTTTGGTTGTGCCACATTTTGGTGCAGTTGCCACTGTACGCATTACGCTTTAACTTCTCCCTAAACCAACTCAAACAAAAAGGGAGAAAATGAGAGGTAGGGAGGTAGGTAGGTAGAGAGGGAGCGAGAGAGAGTGAGAGAGTGAGAGAGGGAGAGAGAGTGAGAGAGGGAGTTAGAGAGAGAGAGGGAAGGCTTTGAGTGAGAGTTGTAGTCAACTTAAATATGCGTTTTACTTGTCTTCCGTATTATTTGGCGCACTAAATTTATGTGCGCAATTGTGCTGAGTTGTGTGAAACATCCCCACATGCACTCATACACACACACACAGCTCTACCCCTTCCCCCATCTCCTCACTCACTCTCTCTCTAGTGCGAATTTGCTCCTTATTTCTTTGGCACTTGGCACTTGGCTCTTGGGTTACCATCTCGATTTGCAGTTGTGGATTTCAAACCGCTGGCACCTTCCTACATACATACATATAATCAAGGACTCGTGGCAGGACTGTAGGACTGCTGGGCTCGATGGCGTTGTGCTTGTGGGTCCTTTGTGTGTTATTATTCAAAATCCAGTCAATAATACGATACGCGACGCTAATTTATTATACCAAATCCGAGGCGAACACTTTGTAAATATTTCACGAGAGCAGTTACAATTACAGCAACCCAAACCCATCCCATGTGTGTGTGTGTGAGTGTGTGTGTGTGTGTATGTGTGTGGCGTCCTGTTGGCGCTGTTTTCAATTTTATCCCTTTTATTGGCTTTGCATTTTTTACAGCTGCTTAAAATTCATACACAAATATTCCGACAGGACTCCCCTTAACCCCAACGCATAACACCATCGTCCTGTGCATCCAGGACATCAGTGCCATTTCTCATTCCCTTATTGCTGCCAACCCCCCCCTGTTCCTCCATCGCCTGCATTTATGCTGTCTGCCTTGGCTGTTTCTCGCCTTCGTGTGCAAATTAGTTTATTGGAATTTCTTGTTTGTGTTTTACCCAAGCTCAACCTTCATCCGGCCCCCTCTTGCCAGAGATGTCTGGGTGCTTCTTCGATATTCGTTCATCACTTGGTTACACTTTGGTTTTCATAGCATATGTGTCCACTTATTGCTGCAGCTGAGCGAGCAATTCGCTTCGGGCATTCGATGTGGGCTTTAAATTTAATATTCTAAACGCTACTTAAAACAAGCCGATCAGCGCCAATAAGAAAGCTTATCGAAGTTCCACTCAAGTCCGAAAGTGAATGCTTAAACTGGTTTATCTGAGCTCATAGTATAAGTTGATTGAATCTTTAGACACTTTAGTCATAACTTTCATTCCGATTAGGATTCAAGAACAGAGTTATCTTAATTCTACATTTGACTTGAACTTTGACTTGAATAGAGTTCTAGCTATACTTAATGCGAAGCTATTTGTTGGCATAACTCTTTAATTGAAGAGTAATTGAAACGAATATCTGTTTGTCCATTTAGGAGTACATTATCTTGTGATTAATATTCCACTTGCGCCTGTTCTACCATTTTTTTTGCATTCCATTTTGTCATTCGTATTCGTAAACGTTTGAATAGTCAAATTAAATAAGGAAATATTCAACACAGTCGCTCGTTAAATGTATTTGTTGCTCTATGCAGTAAATGGAAAATAGGGGACACTATTATGCAAAACTTATGGATATTACGTGTCTGCCGCACAGACACACAGACAGACAGACAGACAGACAGACAGAGAGACGGATAGACGGATAGACAGGCAGCCAGCCAAATAAGCTAGAAATAATAGTAAGTAGAATAGCGAGCGCAAACTCAAAGCTCACAAATTTAGTAACAAGACTATTAAAATTTTAATGAAAATGATGCCCAGCGGGACAACAAGAAGCTCCAACTATGACTCACACACACAGAGAGAGAGAGAGAGAGAGAGAGAGAGAGAGAGAGAGAGAGAGTGAAAGAGAGAAAGGGACACATAGTAAGTGAGTTAGATGTGTGCTGTGTATCTGGGGTAAGGGTGGGGGTTAGTCAGCATTTGGCAGACGAGTGCGTGGAACGAGGCTTTGTGCGTGCAACTGGCATATCAATAACAAATTAAACTATAGCCCATATACAACAAACACACACATACGCAGACAGGTGCTTATGTGCGTGTGTGCGTGTGTGTGCGTGTATATAAACATTCAGGTTGACTGACACTCCGCTAGGTGGCGTCTCAATGCTCGGCTTAGCCGCCAAAAGTTGACAGGCACGCAATGGCGTGCCAAATGCTCCATTTCCCCATCTGCTACCCCCACCGATTCCCATCTCAGCCATCTCGAAAAGTTGGCAAATTATTTGCACGTCTTGGGGCCGGGCTTTAAGTTGGCCATCAGTTTCATAAGTTTATTTATTTCGCCAGCTAGCTAATAAAAGGAAGTCGCACGTGCAGTTTTCCATTTCTCATTTCCATTATGCAACATCATTCATACTTATTTACAGGAAGTATTTTAAGAATGTGTTTTACTCTAATTTCATAGCCTATGCAATGCATTATTTATGAAAAATCTATCCAAACTGCGTAAGATATCAAAACGTACAGACTTAAAGTCTACAATATAAATGTAGTCCTGAATCTTGAAGCACTATAAAATGATTATTAAATTGTGGGTCAGCTGTGTTAACGTTGACTCGTAGTTTTAATTGTATGTTGAATGCACACACACACACACACACACGCACACTTCTTGCATACATTTGAGAGCATTGTAGAATAACCGTTTCAAAAGGTGTTGTAAAACGTTGCATTTCTCGTTGAGTGTTGCCGAACACTTGACACTAAAAACTTCAAAATACGTCTGGCCAACGAAAAAGAAGTTTAAAGTTTTGTGTGCTTTATGTGTGTGTGTCTATGTGTGTGTGTCTATGTGTGTGTGTTCGTGTGTGTGTGTGTGTGTGTGTGTGTGTGTTAATGGTGTTTCGACAGTGTCAACCCTGCAGGCGGCACTGCACTGCACTGCCCATTCCCTTCATCTAAAGACGTTTTGAGGGTTGGCAAACGCGCTTTGCTCGAGGCGATACGCAAATCCGTTTAAATTTATGGCGTGTCATTGTTTTGGCATAAAATTAAGTGAGTGCAGCGACAGCAAACTGATAGAAGGTGGCGCTGGTGGTGTTGCTGGTTGGCGGGGGAGGTGGAAGTGGGATTGGTTGGGTGGGTTGGGTACATGTGTAACTTGTGTTCAGCATGCATGTGAAATTGTGATTGTGCATTGCAAACGAAATTCAATAAGAAACGTTGCCTACTTCAAGGCGCCCAGGCAAATGAGGAAGTGCTTGGGGAGTTGGGGCAACTGCTTGGAGCCAGTGTCTGCACTTCTAATGGGCAAATATAATTCATAAAATTCATAAGCGCCCTTTTAATTTATGAAGAGCCCAACTCGCCCCCAACCTGCCACAAATTGCATGCACCCGCCCGCTAATGTGCGCCCTCCAGCGCTGCTGTGTAATTTTAATTAATGCGACCGTCGTTTAACATGAACGAAATACGAAGACAGACAGACAGACAGACAATGAAAGAGAAAAAAAAAACCGATAAAGTGTCCCCAACTTAAGCTAGAACAAGAAATAAAAGAGGAAAAAAAAATAAAAGAATGAATCTTATGACAAAAAACTTTCTCGAAGACAATGCTAAAAAACGCTTGACAGTCTCTCATTTTACTTTGCACTTCTTTTATTTATGGAAATTTATAAAGAAAATAGAGGGTAGCACTCAGGCTGACAGACTCTGTAGACTCAAGATTATTATTACCTGCCAAACAGCATTAATAATCAAGTGTTTCTTCATTTCTAACTCAGGATATTTTAGGGGTTCTTCCATTGACATTCATTTCCATTTCTTGATTTCTTTCTTAATCTTTTTTAAAGAATAATATATAATAAATGAAAAACATTTGTATTCAGTTAATGTTATGAGAATCCATTGGAATGTAGGGCATCCACAAGTCGACTCTAGCATTCTTTGCGTAAATCGCTTTTGTTTTACCCACTTTGCCATTTAGCTGCATTTGCTGCCAAATATCTCTTTAAGTTTTTCCGCACTTTTCTGCATACGAAATCTGTTGAATTCTTTGGTGTTGGGTATAAGACGATGTGGTTATAAATGGCTTCAGTTTTTTGATTAATGCTTCGGAAAAGTGGCCAAAAATGTTGCCAAAAAGTGCGACAAGTTTTTTTTTTTAGCTCGTTTTGATTTGAGGAGAAAAGTGGGAAAATCTTGTATGCCAATTTTGTGAATTTTTGGTGTTTGCTTTAACTGCTTAACTGCATATTAATCAGTTTTACGTTTTGCCTTTGGAATGTTGCCAAAACTCAAGAAAATCGAACAGCAAAGGGGCGTGGCTAGACAATGTATGCGGCTTTTTGCTGCTGACGTTGCCAAAACCGATGAAAATACTGCTAAACAATGCTGTCAGTAAGTTCAATTAATACACAGAGAAAAACGGGAGGAAAACCAGAAATCTAAAGTTTTTGCTCTTCATACATACATTTTCCTATTACATTTAATACAAAAATATATAATATCTAAATGGAACTTGCCGCAATTATCAAAGAAATCGAATATATTTGATTGGCGTACAACACAAAAATACATCTTACTAGGCAAATAAAATTAACTATATTGTGATTGTTCAGATCGTTGGCCAAATTGGGTGTGTTCTAGTAGTGTCTGCGTTGACGATAGCTGGGCGGTAAATAACGGGACGAGGGCGCCTGAGCACCGTAGCCACCGGAAGAGCCATGATAGGCGGCACCGCCACCACCCGATGATGATCCACTTCGATACTGATGATGACTACGACAGAAATTAGAAAATAGACAATATTTTGCTTGATTTTACTCTAATGATGGACTAGATCCAGAGAGCACTTACTCGGCAGAAGGCAGCGATGGTGATGTGGGCAAATGTGCGCCCTCGGCATGGAAACCGTTCTTGTCCGCCTTGTAATTAACCGTATACTGCTTGCCATCATCGCCCGTATATGAGTAGGAGCCACGCACGCCCAATGAACCATGTGGCCAGCCACCATTGAACTCGCCAGTCTCATCCCGATGAATGCCATTGCCAGTTTCAAAGCTGAAAGTGATTTTGCAAAGTTTTGAGTATCGAGGTTCAGTTTGGGGCTTATCAACTGTTCAGCATATCATTTCCTATATCTATATATATATATTTTTTAACTTTAAACTGGACTCTTAACTATTTCTCAATAGTTTTAATTAACGGGAATATTCTTGAACAGGATTAGTGGTTCCAATGATTTATATTAAATGGAAGATAATAAAAAACATTCTAGAAACATTTTAATTACTGAGTTGCAAAATGGTCGGGGAACGGGACCAGAAAACATAAACCTTGTTTCTTATTTAAAGAATTTAACGATAGGATTGAACTAGAAATAGGCAACTGATAGATTTATATGCAGAAACAGAAACAATAAACAATGAGAACAATTCAATAAAACACTTAATGCTGAATGAGAGCAATAGTTGACATAGATTGGGCACTAACAATACAAGGTATAATTTGGAATAGATCTTAGGATTAAAAGGATAGGGAATTTAAAGGAATCTAATTGTTTTTTTTTTAAAAGAATTTTGTTTTGTGTGTCTTACCCAAAGTTATAATTGCCGCTGGCATCGCTCTGATAGTCGCTGCGTACGATGGGTATCTGTGGCTGTTGCTGACGATGCTGTACACCAGCATGTCCACCATGTCCACCATGTCCAGCATGCCCAGCATGTCCGCCAAATCCAGCTCCACCACCAATTCGAGCATGAGAGTGCTGTCCAGTTACACCGCGATAGTGCATTTGGCTGGCCTGGGGTGCCAGATATTGGTTGGAGGGCAAATAGCGTTGGGCCGGACGACCAGCAGCGACGGCGTTGGCCAACACCGCACAGGTCACAGCCAGGACAATGGGATGCAGCAACATCTTGAAGCACTTGCAACACACACACACACGCACACACACACACACCTCACAGAACACTGAACAACAAGAAAAAAAGAGCACACTAGAAAAAAAAGGACGCACTTGAGCAGCTATAGATAGGTTTTTGTTGCCGCTCTTGGTATTTGTATCTTTTTTTTTGTATTTTTATTTGTACTGTGGCTCGACTCTCGACTGAAACGCTTGAGCGCTGACTGCTTGAGATTTCGGTGTGGCTCTTTGGTTTTTATAGTCTCGCTGTTAGCGGTTGTTAGCCACATTTCATGCTCAGTTTTTTAATTGTTTTTTGTGTTTTTTTTTTTGGCCCAGCTGTTGTAGCTTCATTCTTTAAGCCGCGTTTTTTTTTTGAGTTTTTTTTTTTTTTTTGGAGTTTATTATTTTTTTCATCCATCTTCTTGGTGTTTTAATTATCCAAATGCTGTCGAGGCGGCTGCTACATGCACCAAAAACGCTTTTTGCAATTTTTAGCACAATTTTTTTCTTCAAATTTTGATATTAGCTTTTGTTTTCGTTTTTTTCTTTTTTTTAAATTAATTTCGAACTTTACTTGGGCTTGGTCTCAAAGCAACAAAAAAAAAAACAACAAAAAAACAAAATAAACTAGGGTGTGTGTGGGCGCATTTTGTTGTTGTTGTTGTTGTTGTTGGTTTTTTGGGCACTTGGCCAAAACGCTAAAGCAATGGCTTAACTAATTATAGCATGTGCCATCATTAGCAAAACCCGGAGAGCTTTCGAGTTCCGGCTCGCCTCGCGCTTTGTTCGAGTGGCAGCAACAACTACAACAACAAAGTGCCCTCACTTGAGGGCCATATATTACAATATATGGCAACACCAAAGCGGCTCTCAAATCGCCGCTTGAGCCTTGCGGCGTAAACAACTTGAGACGATCAGCAGTTGCAACAATAACAAGACAAACAACCACAGCAGTTATAGCAACCTGTCCCAAACGGTAGCTTCAACAACTTCTCTTGCTTCTCTCTTCTCTTCTCGTATCTTCTTTTCTTTTTTTTGAGTGTAAATTTTAAAGAAATGTTCTAAAGGCTTATGTCAATATTTGCCACAAATAGTCGAAGTGTCTTCAACACTGCTAAAACTGAGTTAATGATTTAATACTGAATGATTCGACAGAAAATCGGTCAACTATATACATGTTAACCATTGCTCTTGCCATTTATTTATATTTTATTTACAAGCTAGCTTAAATTAATTGTTGTTTAATTACGATTTCAACTTACTTCATACCAAAAATGTACCCAGACGCATTGTATTTTTCAATGTACCCCATAAAGAGTAGGGGATTGAACTTAATGTGAATGAATTTTGCTCAATCATTTCGATCGAGTTGCATGATAGACAGATTCGAATCTCTGGATTTTCCATAAGCCGTAACCAGCAACCAGAAATAGAACTTTACTGCGTACACCTCGGGCAACTTCGCCTCCTTTGTCCTACACTCTCGATAAATTCTTGTACTCTTCGCTGAACAATGAAATAGTTAAGAATATCGCGCGCATATCCGCAATTATTATAATAATGACAACAAACTTGTTGTTGTTGCTGTTGTTGTTTGGTATTAAAAATAGCTATCGGTGAGCGAAGAGCAAACTTCATTAATTAATACTCATAATTAATGATGATGAGCAACTAATCAAATAATAATGCGTGAAAAGTGAAGCTCAACTCAGTGCGAGCTGTAATCATAAATCATCAATTTGATGATCATTATAATGATCACCATGATTATTACAATGGATCTGGTGAATGTATTTTTAGAGCCCAGACCATCGACTATTATAGAAACGCGTGCCGCATTTTTGTTCTCCATTTAAATGGATGACGAGTGGGGCATGATGATGTTGTGCAAATGTTTCTTAACTGGCATCTATTAACAACTTATCTATTTGCATATATTTCTTCATATTTTTATGCGTTAATATGTCTTTATTGAACACTCTATTTATCTATCTATTGTTTATTTTATTATTTTTTTTTTTGCGTGTATTTGAATGGCACTTAAAAACAAAGGCAACACTAAACTACGACCACTCTCACCCACGACGTTGTACATTTATTGCAACGTTGAACTTCGCGCTTCGGTAGCGCCACAAAATGCATATTACAGTACGGAGTGTGGAGTCGAGTGGAGGGGGAGTGGAGGCGTGTGGAGTGCACTTAGATATCTGCTGGACAGCAATATTCGCTAATAGGGCATCATTAAGTTTCATTACGAACTAACTGAACCGACTGCTGCAGTTGTTGTTCTCTTCACGTTCTCTGTGCAGTTGTTTGACCTGCCCTTTTAGACGGTTAACAGTTAACGGTATACTGTGCATGCTGTATAATTTATGCAGCTAAAGTTTATTTTTGTCTTAAGCTCTTTAGGCGGATGTAATGCCATCAGCCGCAAATGAACTTGTAATTCACATTGTTTTTGACACTGACAGCTGGCAAGCTACAACTGGTAACTGGCAGCCGCTAAACGGTACTCAGTACTCGCTGCTCGGTACTTGGCATTGACTGTACCTATGACAAAAAAAAAGCAGAAGAAGATAAACGGAGAAGAAAAAGTTGCGCAACTTTTTTGGTAGAAGTCGCTTAAATCCACTTGTGTAACACTTTGAATTTATAATTTTAGTGCTTCATTGTGAAGTGAAATATTTGGGTTCTTTCTGAATCTCTTCTCGAATATGCTAAAATATACATCATCTTTCATAATCTTTGAGAGATTAATAAAATATAATTATTTATAAGCGTTTTACCTTTTTTTTCGTTTTTTTTTTTTGTAGATAAGACAACTTTTTCGGCTCGAGTTCATTTCTGTCATTTTTCTTATTGCAACCCTTTTCTATACCCTACTTTTGTGAAGTTTGCAACGCATCAAAGAAGATCTCTTCGACTTCACAAAGTATATGTATATATATATATCTATATATTCTTATTAACAACACAACAATCGGTTGGTTTTCGAGAATTTAAAGTGAAAGTTAGATGTCAACAGGGTTGACTGCAGTCGGTATGGGAATGTGGCCAAGATGACTGTTTTAAGTCATTTTTTTTTATTTGAATGCTACTGTTTTATATGTACAGCTGGCACTCAGATATACAAATTGTCTTAAATGTGATTAGACTTAAGCGAAGCTGCTGAAGCAAACAGTCTTAACTTGCTTAACTCGGTAAACTGGATAATTGCTGTATGCATCGTTGAAGATAACTTTGTTGGGGTCCTCTTCTATCCTGCAATTCAAATCAAATCAATAGTAAAGTGTTTTGTCCTGCTACATTCATAAATGAAGACAGCATAAGTGCCATCCATTTAAAGTTCTTTAGTTGATAACTTGTCCAAGATCAAATTTGTTGTTCATATTCAAATTCAGTTATAATTGTAATTTTTACAGCACCTTTATGTCGACTACAGGGATATTTGTTAGTCGATTCCAAATGACTTTTTCATAAAATGTTTTGCAATTTGAACTTGCCAGAGAAAGAGATAAAGAGAGAGAGAGATAGATAGAGAAAGAGATAGAGATAGAGAGAGAGATATGCCGTAGCTAAATGCATTGGCCTGTGGCTAATTGAATCAGAAGATGCTCCGAAGGAATTGCAGAAATGTTTTTATGCTCATAAATGTGTGTAATCGCTTTAAAAAGTGGGCGTACAAAGTGGAAGTGGGTGAGGGGTGGGAAGTGGGCGTGGAAACTGAATTGGGTGGGCAAACAAACATTTGCCTAGGCAGCAGAAGGACGCTGCATCTGTTATTGTCAATGCCCCTGATGCACTGATAAGAAAAACAACATAAAGCAGTGAGCAAAGAAATAATGATATAGGGGTTGAGTTTTGTGAGGGGGGGCAACAAGGGAGAACAAGACAACAGTCAACAGCTGACAGTGGGCTACGCGCTGTCTGATGTTGCCCCCCTGCCCCCTAGGGAGAATTGTGCCCAGTGCGTTCTCTCTCTCCCTCTCCCTCTCTCTCAATATATCACTTACTCGATAAGCGTTTTGCTATAAAGGTACACTCTGAAAAATCTGCCTCAATTTTTGTTAGAAATCTCTTTGGAATCATTATCTACATCAATACATGATATTAATGATTGATTTAAGAAAGTTTGAATTTGAAATGTAGTTAGTTTGCCTAATGCTGGAACATGTGCATATATTTTTCAAAGTGTAGCTGCTGTACTCCAAACACGTTGTCCTTGTCAGCGTCCTGTTATCGCGAACGCGTCCTTCGCTCGTTACTTCCTCTTATGATTTCCCTTTGAACTTTATGCCTCTTTTCTTCCATTTCTTCCAGCCAAAAACGTCAAATTCAGCTATTTGTTTAATTGAAAAAAAAAAGAAGAGAAAATAAAGTACAAGTTCAAGTCGAGGAAGAGGAAGAAAAACGCTACGTGCCTAATTTTTTTTTTGGTATGCTTCCACTTCTTGTCCAACTAAGTAGGAGGAAGGTCTAACCATTGTCACAACCCCACCCCCACCCCCAACCCCTACCCATCCCCCTTAGTTGGCTGTGTCGTGTGCCAGCGCATCAAATTGTTATGTGCCATTAATTTAAATGAGAGTCTCCTCCGCCCCATCGATATATGTCTGTATGTACATGGGGAGCTTTTTCTTCTTCTTTTTTTCTGTTTTCAGTTTTTTTTTTTTGCGTCCTCATCTCGCACGAATTTCTCATTTCCATTCTATTCTATTCTCTATTCATATATACGTATGTGATTCGTATGAAAATTCACTCGATATGCACTTCTTAACCAGAGTGGAAACCACCTCCTCCTCTCCCTCCTCCTTTTCTTTTTTTTTTTTTTAAATTTAGCACTGGATTTGCATTTGAGCATTTGAAACTTGGCAGAGATTCCTGGCAACATTGTTCTTAATCAAGTGGTATGCTTGCGGAAACTCTTGCGCTTCTATTCCATTTATTTTTATTGAAGGATAACATATTTCCTGATGAGCGCTTAAGTTAGTAGATGTATTTATCTATCCGCTGCTCAAACTGGGTATTAAAGAGCATTTCTT